AAGGCTCAAACTTAAGTATGGTCGTCCCCCCCTTATTCATGGGGGATACATTTCAAGACCCCCAGTGGGTGCTGTTTTTTCTTGTATATACATACCTATGATAAAGTTTAATTTATAAATTAGGCACAGTAAGAGATGAAAACAATAACTAATAAAATAGAACAATTATAATAATATGGTATAATAAAAGTTCTATGAATGTAGTCTCAAAATACAGGTGGGGCAAAAAGTAGGTTTACAGTTATGAGACAGTTCAAAAGCCACCCTGACCCCCAGGCTTCCGGGTGTCCTGTGAAAATGTCAAATGTCCCCTGGGAACAAACTCACCCCTGGCGTGGGGCATGCGTACTAGAGGTAAGATACAACCTAGAAAGGGGCTCTAGGCGTGGCAGACTTTCCGATTGGCTGCCCAGTGCCCAGCAGGCAGCCTGCCGGTCCTGGCTTGCTGTTGCAAAATAGTTCTGCCCTCTCGCCACCTCGGGGGAAGCAATCTGCAGTCATTTGAATGAAATGTTCTGTGAGTACACAGAACATGGAGTGTATTCTTGTATTATGGTTTGTTAATCATTGTATTATTTTCCATATGAGAAACTGTAAACCTACTTTTGCCTCTCCCTGTATCTTGTTGTACTGTACTCACCCTCCCTCTTGTGATGATGTGAGATGATGAAATGCCTTATTTAGTCGAGACTCTCTCCTTTTCACTGAAAGGAGGCACATTGCAGCTTCGCTGTGGCATTTTCCCAATGGCCAGCCTCCATCTTGCACTTGGAGCCATTACTCAGCGGAATAGGGTGACTGAGCACAGCACGGGGGGCCCTGGCAGTAGGTCTGATGACCGAGGCAGCTATTAAGTGACTGACAGGGAGGAGTTGCTACAGCGTGGAGACCCCGGACAACGGGATGGCTCACATCCCAGGCGGGATGGAGTGGGACAGCGAGAGATTTCATCACGCTGCTCAGAACAGCGTGCAGTTTGAAACCTGTGAATGGTTTACTGCTGGAATTTTCCATTTAATGTTTTCAGACCACAGTTGATCACAGGTAACTGAAACCTGGAAGGTGAAACCACAGGTAAGGAGGGACTCCTGCATGCCCCTCATTGCTTATGCCCTTGGTCCTGAACAGGGTTGTCCCGAGGAGAGGAAGCAACGGCACCTGCCCCTTAGGAAGGCCTGTTTGGGCTCTGGTGCCAGCCCCTCAGTCCTTCTCAACCCTGGCTCCACCCTGAACTGCAGGGGTTCACACAGTGTGCGGACTCTCCAGTCTACACATCCAGGCACTAGCCTTTCCCACGCCCTGTGCACAGGCGCAGTGCAGGCCCTGACACCAGCTCAGGCTGCGTGGACAAGGAGCTCTGAGACCCTGGTTCTCCGAGTACAGTCGGAGCAAGGAGGATGGGCCTCGGCCCCATAGACTCTTCGCCTGTGGGGAGGGGCCCAGCCGGCAGAGGGTCAGGAGAGCATCCTCCAGCCCTGGCCGGTGGCTCAGGTGGTTGAAGTGTTGTCCCGTACACCGAAAGGTTGCGGGTTTGATTCCCGGTCAGGGCACATACCTAGGTTTCGGGTTCAATCTCAGATCAGGGTGTGCACGAGAGGCAACCAATCAATGCTTCTCTCTCACGTAGATGTTTCTCTCTTTGTCTCCCTTCCTCTCTAAATAAATAAATAAATAAATAAATAAATAAATAAATAAATAAATAAAAACATATCCTCAGGTGAGGATTTTTTAAAAAGAGAGAGAAGGTCCTCCAAAGAATCACTGCTTCAAGGGGTGTCCCAGGACCGGCCGCACCAGCATCCCCTGGGAGCTTGTAAAAAACGCAAGTCATCAGGCCCCGCCCCAGACTGAATCACACACTCTGGGTGCGGAGCCACTAGCCTGTGTTTTAACAAGCCTTCCTGCTGATGCTGCTGAGGCCTGAGAACACTGGGCCAGGACAGCTCTCCATGCCCACTGTGGTCCCCGGCAGCAGCACCAGCCTCACCCGGGAGCTTGCTAGGGATGCAAATTCAGGGCCCACCGCAGCCCAGCCCATCTGGATCGGAAGAGATGATTTGCTTCAACATGCCCTCCAGGTGGCTCGTGCACAGGGGAGTGGGAGAAGCCTGCTCCAAAGCAGGCTCATCTGAGCCCCACTCTACTGCCCTGTTATCCGTAAGGGCTGGGCTATTCCCAGAGACAGAAAGTCCTCTCAGATTGTTTTAGGGGATAAAAGGGAATTTATTGGCTTATGTCATTGAAAAATTTCTGAATAGATCTGGCCCTACTGATTTTAGTGGCAAATTATAGTCCTTGGGCCGACCCCGCCCACTGCCTGTTTTTATAAATACAGTTTTATGGAAACACGGCCACACCTATTCTTTCAGGTGCCTTCACACTAACTACAAGAGCAGAGTAGAAGGGTTTGGACAGAGACATCGGGGCCCACGGAGCCTAAACCGTTTACAGGAAAGTGTGCTGACCCCTGCTCTCCAGCCTGCGGCCCAGGGCAGGACCCCTCCTGCCCAGGTGTGACAAGGATAGTGGGGGTGAGTGACACTCAGCCTGTGGGCTCAATACAGCCTGTGAGCTGTTATGCCTTGTTTATGGATATATCTACACAAATGTGTGCATATACATGCATACACATATGTATGTGTGTATATAAATAACTATTATATATGATTAAATATGTACCAAAACAACCCTCTATGCTCAGTTAATGAATCTACTGGGGCAGATTTATGCAGCAATATTTGAAGCACTTTACCACCCCTGGAGTGTGGACTCCTAATTAAGCGGCGTGGCAGAGTAAGAAATAAATATTTGGTCTTTTCCACAGTCCCTGGCTCACAGCTCCTAAAACCCTAGAATCTCCACAGTGATGAGAGGATCTTGTGTATGCTAATGAGATGGCTGTGGATGCCCGCCTCCCCCCCGGTTCAGGATGAGGGCTGGTCTCCAGAAAGAGCCTGGCATGATTAGAGGGTTGGAACTTTTAGCCCCACTGCCTGACCTCCAGGGAGGGGAGAAGGGCTGAAAGTTGAGGTGCTGGGGGAGTGGTGCACCCGGGCCCCACTCCACCCCTATACCCTGCCTTGTGTGGTTCTTAAATTGTATCCTTTATAATACACTGGTAAATGAGTTAAGTGTTTCTGTGACTTCTGTGATCCACTCTAACAAATTACTGAGCCTGCGGAGGGTGCTGTGGTTCATCAGCAGTATGGGTGGCTCAAGACTTACAACTGGCATCTAAATTGTGGAGGATCTAGTGGGAATGAGGCTTAAATCTGTGAAATCTGACGCTCACTCCAGCTAATTAGGGTCAGAATTCATTGAATTGTTGGACACCCAGTAGAGCATCTAGACAAGGTCTGTCCTCTGCTTCGCCAGAAATCTTCTTTAGGTTGGGATTTGTGGAAATCAAGGGAGCTGAGGGGAAAGCTGTTGGAAGCTTTGGAGGTGAAAATGAGTCAATGGACTGAAGTGTCTTGGCTTGTATGTCCTCCTGATTTACTAAGCCACTATTTTATTGATGTGAATGAGGAGAAAGAGTTGTTGCCTCTTTCTGAATCCTGTCCTGAAGGAAGTGTTGCTCTTTCTGAATCATGGCGTTGATTATTCTTTTTTAATTTCAAGAGGAAAATTCTGATTTTTTTATTGCCTAATCATTTGCATTTCTGCGATTAAAGAAATGGGTATTGTCCAGGCTTACTCTAGTTTTTTAATCAGCTTATGCTGTGCATTTTAACATATTTTCTCTCTGTGGTCAGGGCCGCAAGCTTCTTATTATTGGGACCACTAGCCGCAAAGATGTCCTTCAGCAGATGAAACTGCTTACCGCTTTCAGCACCACCATCCACATGACCAACATTGCCACAAGAGAGCAGCTGTTGGAAGCTTTGGAGGTGAAAATGAGTCAATGGATTGCTCACCCTTTATAAGAAAGGAGTTGGGGCTGGAAATAATGCTAAGGGGTGCCAGACTTTGCACCTGGGGTTTAGTTTCTATGTTAGCCTAGAATATGGGACCGGGGCTATCCCTTCAGTTGTTTTCATGATTTAGGGGAACGAGAGATGAATAAAAATTGGAGTGAATTTCCCTCTTCTCGGTGTGGGCAGCTCACGAACTGCCAGGAATGAGGCACTCTGTGTTCAACATGAGTGATGCACCTAGATTACAAGGACCAGAAAAGTGGGGTGATGCAGGGACGGTAATCAATATAGAAAATGCAGTTATTCATAGTAGCTTTCAGCCCATTTACTTGTATTTATTTAATAAATTGGAATAATGATTAAAATCTTAGGAACTTCATGAAAGTTACAGAAGTAAAAGGAACTGTTTTATAATCAAGTTCATAATATGAAAATGTTTTCTTCAGTCTTTTTGAAAATAACAAAGTTTTTAATTTAAAAAATAAATCCTTCATTAAACTTTTTATTAATATCAATGTGTACAAGTGACTTGATGAGATCTGTTAGAAAATATTATCTATGACTTGTTCGAGTGTGAAGGCTCCTTAAAATCCTCAAGACCCATAAAATTGGGGCATACCCCCAACAAAATAGAAATTATTTATATAATAAATGTCTCCAGGTTATCTTCTTGAGCAGCGTTTGTGCCAGTTGGATAAGAGAATTAAATTTAGTCTGCTTTGACACATAGATTTGTTTCTAGAAAGGAATGTTAAAAATTTTAACTGATATTTCTTAATGGTGGAGCTATTTTTCCCCCAGCAAATATACCTCTAAATTATAATAGAGGCCTATAGGAAAACAGGATTTAGGGTACCAATTTTCAATTTAATTATTACACCTAATGGGTTTAGAAAGGTCAGGTTAGATTTTTTTAAAATAAGAGAAAATCCTGTCAACTTGAACCAGTCAACTGGTCCTTATCATTGTTCTTTTAAGCATTAATGTGAGAATTAACTAATATTGTCAATTCACTATAATAGTGCTTTCATTACTTTTATTGTTTTCATAGCTTTTGGGCAACTTCAAGGATAAAGAACGTACCATAATTGCACAGCAAGTAAAAGATAAGAAGGTCTGGATAGGAATCAAGAAGCTGCTAATGTTGATCGAGATGTCCCTTCAGGTAAGTCGCGTCCTTCCCCATATAATTCAGACATAGAAACTTCATATGCCTTTCTGTTTGCTAAAGTTTTAATTTGTTATAATTTCCTTATATTATTTCTGAACTCAAGTTGATATTAGTAGCCTGAGATCAAACAATAATTTATTGGTACTTTTCTTTACCACTTCTTAAAATTCAAAAATAGAAGAAAAGGTTATAAAGTTATTTTAAGTTGTTTTTTTTAAATATTTTTATTGATTTCAGAGAGGGAGAGAGAGAGAGAGAAACATCAATGATGAGAAAGAATCATTGATCGGCTGCCTTCTTCTGCACACCCCCTACAGGGGATCGAGCCCACAACTCGGGCATGTGCCCTTGACTGAAATCGAACCCGGGGCCCGTCAGTCTACAGGCCTATGCCCTATCCACTGAGCCACACCAGCTAGGGCTATTTTAAATTTTAACATTGGGTGGGAGTCAATTAGGAAGAACTTCAAAGAGCAATTGTTCTGCTGCCCTTCATTTTAGAGATGACGGTACCGAATGTCCCACAGGTTGTCAGTGAGTTATCCAGGGTCACAGGCAGTTAGGTGATGGAGGGGGGATGATGTTGTCCATCAGTGGTCAGGCAGCTACCACACATACACCAACAGGGGCCTGGGAAGCTGTTTTAAGAGACAGAGTAATTGAGTTGTGCAGACTGGACTTGGGCTCTGTCTATTGTACCCTGGCCTGGGCTCCTGAAAATGTCATGCAAACTACTATATAGTTAAGCACCCACAGGAGAACTGAGCTCCAGGCTATTGCTCGGGCAAAGATGAAACTTCTTTGGGCCTTTCTCACATCTACTGGCAACTTGCCTTTTCTCTTTTTTGGGGAACTCTACCCCTCCACATACCCATCCTGTGTCTTATGCTTATCTAGTTAGATAATAAATGTATGCTTACCAAGCTCTGTGAGTGAGTTCAGGGACCTTGGCTGTCACTCACTATTGAATCCAGCCCCTGGAACAGAGGCAGACACATAGTAGGCTGCTCCGTAAACTTGCATTGAATTTACTGAGGTCCTAGGCTACATTCTAAGCATATGTATTACTGCTCAGCCCTGCCACTTGATCAGTGTGAGCAGTGGGCGGCGGCGGTGGTGTCAGTTACAACTGAAATAGGCTCTTGGACCACTAACAGATTGGAAAGACAAAAATGAATGCTTTTTAATCTTTGCTGGTGAATTTATTTTAAAATAAAACTGTGGTTTTCGGGAACCTAAAGTTTAATCTATTGAACTGTCAGCCAGACTACTTTTAAGCCAATTTATTTATTTCCCATTTTGAGCAGTAAGTTAAAGTTACAGACTAATCACTTTGCTTAGGATTTTTCTTGGTAAAAGTGCATATACAGATGTATTGGCTCTTTCCTTGGAAAAAGATAAACCTGTCAGATAATCAACTCTTCATTTTTTTTACTTTCAACACACTTTTTTTCAGTAATTGCATAGAAGAAACTATGCAGGGTTTTTCTCCCCAATCCCTACCCCTTCCTCTTGCTTTCATGCCTGCAGGTCAGTGATCAAGTTAATGTCTCTTGTGTATGTGGGGTAGAAAGTGAGAGTGGGGCACTCAGGCCTAATCTTCAGCGACTGACACTTCATAGGCCTCTGAGTTTGAACCCCTTCATGTCAAATGGATTTCGTGCAGCTGAGTGAATTCTCCTTAGATCTGCCTTAGAGAGACTGAGCCTAAGGGAAGAGGCACGTAGTCTAGCAGAATATAAGTCCTGTTCCCTCTCTGTTCACTGTACACAATTCTGTTAAAACTTGCACAGTGCCGAGGGTCTGCTCTGACTGGATGTCACCTGAGGGAATAAAGTCATTTATCTAGATTACTTTTTTCCTCCCTTTCTCTTGACTTTCAATTCCATAGCTACAGGCAAGTCAGTAAGTCGTTGCTCACACATATTAAATATATTTAATGGGCAAAGACCTGCAAGTACTGACTACAACTGAGCTCCAGCCAGTTCCATTTTTTTTAAAGAAGTTGACAATTGATTCATATGTAATTCGGTTCCCAAAGAAGAAAAATGTTTCTTTGGTTAGCTATTCACACTTTTTTTTAGTCCTTTGTAGTCTGACCTCTTAACTTTGATACATTTGAAACTTCTATACTTCTGGGATAGAAGAGATCTTTAAAAAGAAAGAAAGAAAGAAAGAAAGAAAGAAAGAAAGAAAGAAAGAAAGAAAGAAAGAAAGAAAGAAAGAAAGAAAGAAAGAAAAGAAAGAAAGGTAGTTAGAGGGGGAATCCAATTGCACATTTACCCACAGCTGCACTGAGCATTTGAAAGCTATTCCTGGAGGGCAGGGAGTTCCCTCTTGGGAAACAGACTCCTGCCTGGAACATTTTTTAAAAGTTAGGTGTGTTTCTTACAATAAAAATTCATCTCAAGGAATTAAAGATGTTTTTAATGAGCATTTTTTAGATAACGTCACATCTCTGGTGGACCAATGAAAATTGAATACAGTTAAATAAATTAGTTAAATATGAATATAAAATGAAACTTAATAATTAATTATAATGACCTGAACCTAGAGCCTGAACCAGAACTCCTCCATCTTTTCTTAGACTCATGACACCATTCTTATCACAGTAGACTTGGATTATCCTGGGTTAGAGGAGTCAGTCCCACTCTTAATTTTTTTAGTTTTAGCATAAGTTTTTTTTTTATTAATTGCAACAGCAGTTGGTTTCTTCAAGTTTGGTCTCACTTTTATGCCTTAGATGAGTCCTATGAGTTGGACGCCATGCATAAGCCCCCATGAATGGCTGCCGTCTGCTCTCACACTAGTCTTCTTGGGCATGCTGTCTCCTCACATAACTCTCCCTAAGGGAGCATGCAGCTGAGGTGCCTGTGAATGACTAGCTGGGTCACTTGGAACCTGAATAGAATAATTCTCTATGCTAGGAAATCCTATTCACTTCTCTTGAATGATGCAATCTGCTTCCTGTGTATCAGAATACTGGTCAAGGAACAGGTAGCACATTTCTGTGACTCAGCAGAGCACTGATGGGATTTGAAACTCAGGATTTCCTTGGCATGAAGTAAGTGCATAGTTATTAGAAGGCACCATTAACCCATCGTCTATATTTCTTCTGATGTATTTAGATGGATCCTGAATACCGTGTGAGAAAATTCTTGGCTCTCTTAAGAGAAGAAGGAGCGTAAGTATGTATATACAACACTTAAGACTGTCAACCAGACTTACCACTCTTTTAAATCCCAGTGCCTGTTCTATAAGTTGCTTGCTCTACAGTGCATACAAATTTCAAATCTCAACCTTTCTTGGACAACTCTTTCCACTTATAGAATTCTTCACTGTGTTGTAGGTCTGAGAGACCAAGCAAGGAAATTGGTTGTTGTACTGTTGGTTTGCTTTCCCTGCCCTGCTTCGCAAACCTCCTTGTTACAAGGCAGGAAAAACTCAATGGTACGTATTTGTTGGAACCTCCTTATAAATATATGGAGCTGGGACCATTTCCCTTTGTGACATGCTCATCTCATAGCAAGTGCATAGTGGAAAGTTTCAAAAAGCCTTCAAGAAGCTCTTAGTGATTTTGTGAAGAATGACTTTTTGCAGACCCTCATCTGTTTTTTGTGTTTGGGGTATTTCTTTTTCAGTCGCTCCCTTGACTTTGAAAATTGGAATATTTGCAAACACATAGTGACCAAGTTAAAGAATGCCTGGGATCGTCACTGGATTTGCTCAAGACCCTAAACAAAGTGAATCGTTCCCTGCCTTCAATACGTGCTCACTCTGCATGATCAGTGAAATAAAAGTCCCCTCCTTGTGCTTATCGAGATAGTCCACTATTTTGTGGAAGGTACAGACCTGCTTTAGAATGCTGTGCTTACCTTTCACTGCAAGCTAAGATGATTCCTTCTTCCTCAGCCTTTAAGTGTGGGAGATATACTGTACTTGTGAACACAACTCATTTTAAGCCCCATACTCCCCCCTCCACCCAAAAGCTCTAAATAAATGTAATGATGTTGCAGGACAACGTTTGGCCTATTAGTAGGAAGACTTTCTACAGGTAAACCAGGAACAGGGAGGGCTCACAGGGATTATTTTACAACTTCCCTGTGCATTTGGTTAAAGTTCTCCCAGTAAACTGCGGCTCGCGAGCCACATGCGGCTCTTTGGCCCCGTGGCATGGGCCACGAAGTTTCAATTGCACTGTCCGTACGCGCCCGCACGTGGTATTTTGAGGAAGAGCCACACTCAAGGGGCCAGTTTGCCGACCACTGACCTAGAGCATGCCCACTGGGGGTCCTTTCTGCCCAGACCAGTCTAAAACTGTAAAGGACACCTTTTCCAGACAATCCAGAGCTCAGGGGACACCATGTCTTCTTCCTGACAACCCTGGCCCTTGTGTGGCTTAGCTCTCCAGCAGAGCTAGCAGGGCAGAGCCATTTCCAGTCAAGTTTCATTTTCAGTAGAGCAAATGCTATGTTCCCAGTAAATGGAGCTGAAAACATGGGTGAGGAAAGGATTGAGTCAGTGGCCAACATCGTGGTCTGCTGGCCTTGAGCCACATCTTTGAGTGTCTGTGACATTAATTTGTGTATTGGGAGTGCTGGAGTCTATGAAATGAATTACTGCCCAAATTGCTTATTTCTAAAACGGGAAATTCTTTGTTAGAAGCTGTTTTAGAACAAAGTAAGCCTGTAAGAAAGTCCTAGAGTAGATCATGCCTACTGTCCATGACGTGTCAGATTATCTTGCTTGGCGAACAGAGGAAATGAACTTAATTTGGGCCACTAATTTAAGAGTGAGAGTTGAAGCTACCACATTCAGATCTTGACATTCCTTGACCTCCTAAGGATTAATCTGGAAACTCCACACATTGTACAATGTATCCATTTTAAGTTGACCTTCTCTTTAATGACTTAACAGAAAAAAACTGCATGATGAAATATATTTTCTCCAAATATATATATA